CAGTACACGTAGCAAGGTGTATATATATATATATATATATATATATACATACACAATACATATACATATACATACACACATACATATATATATATATACACATATACACACATATACACTTTATGGTTCACCAATGGACAGTTTACAGTAAAGTTTTAGACACTGTAGATTGGGTTTCATTTCCATCAAGGCTGTTTTCCATTTTAGTGCTCAGTCACGTGTGGTCTGGGGTATCAGAGGAGGCTGGTGTCCTGCAGTGAGGTTCACGCTGGGATTGATAATTATGAGTATAGTCTTAACTCTTCATTAGACTGCCTCGGCACCCCTCCTGAGGACATCTTGCCCTGCTTTCGGCTGCCTTGTTCTGCCCCACACGCTTGGAGAGTGGGTATATGGGGACCTGTGAGTTTATTAAAGTAATAATTCATGATTTGAATTTGTCTAATACATTTTTACATTTTTAAGGAATGACTCTAACTCTTTAATCGAAAAATTTAATTTTGTACAAGAAAAATAAAAACATTTTTAAAAAATAGTAAAGAAAAATTGATAATATGTAGTTTTGCTGAATTTAAGACAGATCTGGACTGATAATAATATATACCTAATTGAATAATTATACAAGATATAAAATTATACTAAATTACTAAATGTCATTACTAAACCCATAATGTCTGTTTAAAAACCTATTTTTTTTGTATGTTAGTGCTCTGCAACATGTGGAAGTGGTTGGACAGAGAGACAAGTCCAGTGTATATCAGCAGAGGGTGAGGTTTCTGAAAAATGTCCCTCCTCCTCCAAACCTGAGGAACGGAAATCCTGCATCAGTCCTTCTTGTGAGTAACAATGAATTAGTAGTAGCAGCAGGACAATGAATTACAATTAATTTCCTTATAATTTATTTATGCCCATATAGTGGTAGAAATGAAAGGTTTGCCACCAAGTGGCAAAAAATCTCAAGTTGCTGTAAAGTTATATTATGGACAGTATAGTTCTACTGAATTCACCAGTGTTACTATTACTATTATTATATGTTACTATTGTTACTGTTATAATTAACTCTGTTCTGTTTTTTAATTACAGTACTTTATTTAAATTAAATAACATCAGTTTTTTTATTTTAATAAATATTAAAATGTTTTACAAGTCTGAGCAAGATAAAATATAAATAGCCAAAATAGTTTTAAAAAACTACAACAGGGAAAGTGTCCATAAACAATTCTAAAAAGTAGAACAAATTTAGCTGCTTATAGTATTTTAATTTTCTTAATACTTAAATTTAGTTTGAGTGACGAATGGAGCTCAAGCGTAATTCAGGCAGACCACGGCATGCCTGCAGCCTCAGCTGGCGCTCAGCTGACCGTAACTCCTCCCACTACAATTAATAAGATATATAAGTTCATCCGTACTCACACTTGCCATAGTCTGTCGCACAGACATGCGCTTACCCTCCTCCATCCCCAACTCCTCCTTATGCAGATACATGATCACTAACTGCTTGCCCATGGAGGTATATCATCTATCCAGCTCATTTATTCACAGTACTGTATTACTCTACTGAAATATACAACTGTTGCATATAAAATATCTGGCAATTGCTTAGGCTTCGGGGGGTTCAAACCTCAGCGAGGTTTGCCTGTGGATAGCTCAGAATCTGAACCCTTCAGAGCAATGTCTGCTGCCAAATATAAAGTTCAGGACCTCTACAATAATCTTACTCAAACAGAGTGGTCCTGACTGAAATTAACAACTTCAAAAACGTCCTACATCGCTGCAGAAGTACCGACCCAGTGTTTACAAAGTGAACATGCAAAGAAGGTCAACCGCCCTTTACAAAAAACGGTAAAACAACGATGTAGGATGATTTTGAAGTTGGAGGAGAAAATGAGATGGGAGTTTTTCGACATACCCTAACTGTCATGAACCGGAAAAAACAGAGTTCACGCAGAGCTAGACAAGACGAGCATTTGAGGTTAAAAAGTATATAAATTGTAATTTTTTTTTAGAAAATCGTTTCGCTAGATAAGACCCTTTTTCCTCGGCTGGGACACGTTTAGAGCCCTTTGATGCTGCATTTAAACTGCATTTGGAAGTTCAAACTCGGGGCACCATAGAAGCCCATTATATGGAGAGAAATCCTGAAATGTTTTGCTCAAAAAACATAATTTCTTTAAGACTGAAGAAAGAAAGACAAACATCTTATATGACAAGGGGGTGAGTACATTATCTGTAAATTTTTGTTCTGGAAGTGAACTACTCCTTTAATCACAAACTCTGAGTTGACAGTGAAAGTTTGTATCGAGCTTTGCAAGCCCAGTGAACCTGATCTAAACCAGGCTGGCTTTATCGGGTTTTATCAACTCAAAACTTACTCTGCAATGCTGAGTTTGTTCATCTCGCTTCGTGCTACAGGCCACTGATCAGACGTGATCCGTACCGTACCGTACAAACTCTTTTCCTCTCTCATTCTCAGGCCACTTCCCCACTAACTGTAGAGATGTACAGCTCCAGAAAGATGTCGTCTCTGATGGTGAACAGACGTTGAAAATTGATGGAAAAATGTTAAAAGTACGATACATTTTTAGGTCTCATTTGAATTTCTGTTAATATGAAACATTTCCGAGAGAAGTTAACTTTGTTATTTGGCACAAATAATGAATTCCTGATTTAAAAGAATTTCTTAGTTTAGACATTATAAAATCTCTATTGCTCAGATCTACTGTTCGGAGATGAACACTGACAGTCCTAAGGAGTATATCACGCTGATCACCGGAGAAGAAGAGAACTTCTCTGAGGTCTTCGGATACAGGTTACATTTAACCCTTTGACTTCCATTGCGAGTGTATAAATATGCATTATTGCATTATTTTGTGTGCTTTTACAAAATACACTTGTATTATGTATTTATATTATTCATTTTTCCGTCAAAGTAACAATATTTCTTTATGTTCTTTGTGTTGTTGTCCAGGCTGATGGACCCCACACAGTGCCCATTCAACCTAAGCAGGAGAGAAGATTGCCAGTGTAGAAGAGACTACACAGCTGCTGGTCTTTCTACCTTCACAAGAGTTAGAATGGACCTCAGCACAATGACCATTATAAGTAAGCCTAGCTAACACATGTTGCCAGAAATTATTCTTGAAAAATGTCTGGTCTCTTGTTCATTTATTCATTGCCCTTTTAATACGCCTACCTTAAATTTATAAATGTCATTTATTTATTTATTCATTCGTTTATTTATTTTTGCATAGCCACAGACTGGAAATTTGCCTTTATCCATGAAGGGCATAGGGTTCCTTTTGCCATGGCAGGAGATTGCTATAGTGCTGCTCGCTGCCCACAGGTAGGTAGCACACCACAGGGCTTTTCACACTCGTTTCTCAAACCTGTTTACATATAGACATTCTCATATTTCCAGTATATATTGCCGACATTATGACGTTTTTCCTTAGTGGAGATTTCGGGCTACAAAGGTCTCTCTTCTTCATTGCAATTTACATCTCTTTTTGACGTTTTCCCCTTAAACGTTGAAATTACTATTTATACAACACGCAGTGTTTCCCTGACTGTTCAAAGCAGATGAATATGAGACACGCAATTGGCTGTCTGTTGCTTAGCATCTAGCCATAACATTCTAACACTGCGTCGTTTAACAGTGCATAAATGGTTCTAACCCCAGGTAACATACAGTGCTACCCCAGCTAAAGTATATTTGTGAAAAATTCCTCTATCCAGGGTTAAAACCAGGATTAATAATGACGATAATCAGGGGTTAAGTGCAGTGTGAAAAGCTTATTTTATTATCTTATTTTTACTCTTTCTATATAAATAAATATATGAATGACATATTTGTCTTTGAGTAGTTTACTCATCCAGATTTTAGTCTACAGATAGTATGAGGTTAAAATTCCTACTACTGCCACCTGTTGCTAGTAGGTAAAATGTTGTGACTGCTCAATGTGCTCTTTTTTTCAGGGCCGGTTCAGGATCAACCTCTCAGGAACAGGATTTAAGGTGACAGAAAGCACTAGGTGGATTTCCCAAGGGAACTACGCCACAGCTGACATTCACAGGTCTCAGGTAAGTCCACCACCATGTACTGACTTAAAGAACACTAACTCGCACATTGAAATCATAAAAAAATGCATTTATACTGTTCTTTGTAATACATTTTTATACCAAATTTATACAATTTCTATTTAGCCCATTATGATGTTGTAATTGCACATTTCCCTTTCAAGATAAAATCGTTTTGTTTTTTTTTGTAGTATGAAAACAGCATTTTTAAGAACTTTATAAAGCAAAAGATACTCTAACTAATGCACACTAGAAGGCCTAATGATTAGAGTAAATGTGTGCAAGTTCACCAGACCATGTGTTGTTTCTGGAACCTCCAACTCTGAATGAATAGTAAATTAAGTATATTGTCCATTCTTGGCTTAGAATTTGTTTTTAAGCACATGTAGTACATCATCCATCTTATTTGGTACAAGTGTCCTTTTGATGGCACACAACTGAGCAGCTGCTGTGTAGATCCAGTCCTTCTTGAAGTCAGCAGAGGGACAGTTTTTGGCAAAGATTAAACAGAATCCATTCAAAATGATCCACTGTTCTAAGTCAATAGCTCTGGAGGACATGCAGAGAGAGAATTTTTTATCTCTAGTTGAAGTCAGTTGAGGTGTGTTTTCATGCCCTTGGGGTTTGAATTTCTCTAAATGATTTTTTTAGCGTGTTTTAGCTATGTTATAAAACGATTAAGTAAACTTTACATGTACTTCTTCATGTATCCACAGGATGGCAGTAGAGTTTCTGGGATATGTGGTGGTTATTGTGGAAAATGCACTCCCTCTTCCAGCCCTGGACTTCCTGTTGAAGTTTCATGAGGGCAGGTGTACAAACCAGCAGGAAAGTGTATGACCTGTTTCTAAATACTTATTTCTACTGTCAGACTTAATTTATTTTAAAGGGAAATCTAAATTCTATGTGTATGATTCCTCAAGTGCCATACAGTTCACTTATGAGCCATTAGGAGTGTTGGAATACCGGTATAAGTTCTTTGGCATCTATTTTGCCGGATGTATTTATTTAGGTTCTCAAAAAAAAAAAAAAGACGTCTCTTATAGTCACCAAAGCTGCATTTATTTAAATACAGTAAAAGTAATACTGTGAAAAGTATTAATGTATAATGTTTTCTATTTTGTTATATATTAAAATGTAATTTATTCCTGTGATGGCAAAGCCGAATTTTCACAACCATTACTCCTGTCTTTAGTGTCAGAGATCATTCTAATATGCTGTTTTGGTGCTCATGAAACATTTCTTATTATTATCAGTGTTGAAAACATTGTTTTGGTATTTTGATTAACAAAAGAACATGCTAATATTCATGCTAACAGAATTTTAGTCATCTGAATAGTAAGAATTTTCTTTAGTTTTTAAAAGTCCATCATATTTGAAGATATATATATATATATATATATATATATATATTAATTGCACACGACTGTCGTTTATTTATTTATCTATCTGTTTGATCAATTAATTCTGGAAAATTTCAGAGAAAGCAATATAAGCAGAGTAAGCTTAAATGAATGATGCATTGTCACAGTTCAGAACACACAGTATGTGTGTTTAGGATTGTTGGGCAGTGGAGCGCGTTGTGTGCAGGGAAGTGGAATTCTGACTATTCAGTGGCGCTATTATGTGTAAAACACTAAGGAACATCATTTTAGTTTTGAATAGAGTGTTTGGCCAACTGTAAGACCACTATAAGTTTGGCCTGAGTATGAAAGAAACAGTTACTTGATAGTTCAAAAGTCTGGGGTCAGTACGATTTAAAAATATATTTGAAAGAGTTTTTTATACTTGCCAATTTATTTAATTTAAAATACAGTAAAACTGTAATATTGTGAACTATTATTAAAATGTAAAATAACAGTTTTTAGTGTTATATTTTAAAATGTAATTTAATGGCAAAGCTGAATTTTCAGGATCATTACTCCAGTCTTCAGTGTCTCATATTCTTTCAGAAATCATTCTAATATGCTGATTTGGTACTTGAGAAACATTTTTTATTATCAATGTTGAAAACAGTTGTGCTGCTTAATATTTTTGTGGAAGCCATGTTACATTTTTTTTTAATATAAATCTTGTGTTTTTGTCTTTACTGTCACTTTTGATTAGTGCTGTCAAATGATTAATTGTGATTAACTGTATCCAAAATAAAAGTGTTTGTTTACATAATATGTGTGCATACTGTGCATGTTTATTATGAATATATACGCAAATACACACACATGCATGTATATATTTTGAAATATTTACATGCATATATGCATATTCATATAATTTATATTATTTATAAATATATTGAATATATAAACATAACATTTTTCTTAGATATATACATGTATGTGTATTTATATATACATAATAAATATACGCAGTACACACATATATCATGTAAACAAAAACTTTTATTTTGAATGTGATTAATCACGATTAATTGTTTAACAGCACTAAGTTTGAACAATTAAATGGTTAAAATGGTTGAAATCCAAGCTTTTGAACAGTAGTGTATGTTATTCCTAATTATTTATGAATGGTATATTTGTTGTGAAAATTTCAGTGATTCAGTGATTCTTCTTGAATTTTATAGATGAAGATGTCGTGTCTGGTAAGTTTAGTATTTTTCTTGTAGAAGGAAGTACAGCTTATTTAGCCGTCGACTCACCGGTCTAAAGAAGGCTATAGAGACTAGATGTGACTCGTGTTCAGATTTTTGTTCTGACAGAGCAGGAAACATCTTAGTGGGAGAGTAGAGTTCAGATAAATATCTGAGAAGGGGAAAGAGAAGTCTGCCTAGCAAAAGAGAGGAATTTGTAGGTTGCACGGTTGGAATTAGATAAAGGTTTATGAAATGAGAATTCAAAACTGTCACTGGATGGTATCTTTCAAAAGATTTAATATGTACAGTTTAGGTCCTTGTATGTAACTTTAAGATAGTAACATCTAGGGGTAGATAAGGTAAAACATTTTTTACCTTAGAGTAACCATCCTAATGACAGCTTTGTGGTTTGTACATTTTATTTTGGGAGTGTGAAGTTGGTCATCTTGTTCATTGTCCAAGCAGTACATTTTGAGAAAAAGTGTTTAGTCTAAAGAAATGTTTTTGGGGTTTTTTGCATTATTTTTAAATTCTACCTCAGCCGTGCCTGTTGTAAGATTTTATCTGTTTCATAACTTATTGAATAATTATTGTCATAGCAAATTACATGTTTCACTAATAACTTCACTGCCATTATGTGTATATTTTATTACTGTGTATTTATTGGGGTGATAATAATTCATTGGTACATTAAAATCTATTGTCGCAATAATTGATGCCAATTGGAATATTGAAATATTATTATTTTGGTGTATTCATTACATAGACCATTGCAATAGCAAAAGACAAACATGCTCAAAAGACGGGTCAAAAAAGCCAATATTGTAGTACTTAAACACATTTTACAACATTAAAGTGCTAAAAAACATTCCCAAATAGTTGTTTGCTAGATGGTGCTGTTTTTTTTTTTTTATATATATATATATATATATATATATATTTTTTTTTTATTAAGTATGGTTATAAAATTATCAGATTCATTTATTTGTGTTGTCTTGTAACATGTACCTTTAAATGCATATTGATAATAATCTAATAATTAAAAAGTAATTTTTGAAAACAACAAAGCCATTATCTAGATACTAGAGCAATATTTCCTTAAATATGGCAGAACACTGATGCGTCACTTTGAGTAATGCTGAATGCCTGAAGCCATTCTTGTAAATGAATGTATATCAAATCATATATCAGTTAATTTTGCATGTGAATAAAGTTAGACAGAAAATTCATAAATATTTTAAAACATTTTATACACAAGAATATAATTTGTAAAAATGTCTTAAACTGTTTCAATCCATCTTTTGATAAACTAGTATTATTGTCTTTTTCATTCCTTTAAAGAATATAGAGAGAACACACATTTTACAGTACTTAGTATTTATTCTGTTAATGGTTGTAAATGCATTTTAAATAATTGTATTTGTTTTCTTTTAATTTTCCATCAGACAACATTTTCACATAATATTTATGTTACTGTAACATATTACATTTCAGTTGAGCTGCTTGGTGCAGGTTGTGATATGAGTTATGTGTAAAATTATGTATAAAAATGATTTAATGCAATGAATTTGTCTTGATAAAGTCTACAATACTCTTTAAGTTTAATGTCAAAATTAATATAATGTGTATGCCTCACAAATAAATTCCCTTTGATATGATGTTGTGATGTTATGTTATGATGATGTCTCTTTGCAGCCAGATAGACAAAAAATATTTGAAGTGAAGTGTGGCCAAGTATGGTTACCCATACTAGGAATTAGTGCTCTGCATTTATCCCATCCTAAGTGCACACACACAGCAGTGAACACACACACACACCATGAACACACACACATGGCTGCGGCACCCGGGGAGCAGTTGGGGGTTCAGTGACTTGCTCAAGGGCACCTCAGTCGTGGTATTGAAGGTGGGAGAGAGCGCTGTACATTCACTCCCCCCACCTACAATCCCTGCCAGACCTGAGGCTTGAACTCACAACCTTTGGGTTATGAGTCCGACTCTCTAACCATTAGGCCACGACTTCCCACAACTTTGATTTGGGGGTAAAATATCACTGGGCCGTGTTTTATGAGATTCACCCATCTTTGTAGTCACATGGTTATTTAGGTTCCTTTGCTCAGTGACATGTCCAACACAGTCTTTTATAGTTATTTAATCTGAGGGTTTTTCAAACTCTTTTGTGTGGCCATGTTAGTTTATTTAAGGCCATGGAAGATTATGTTTTACAGGTGAAGCACCCAGAAATCTGTTGAGACAGGTAATGTTTACTGTTACCAGGACAACACACAGGCTTATTACACAACTTCCACTAAACGCCTACAGGAGTCATAACGCCACTGAACCTCCTCAACGGTGAGCATCTTTGACAAAGACTGTCTTTGATTAAACCTATGTGCTAGTTAATATACCTGAATTCTTAAGTAAATAGTTGATAAATATTTAATAAGGTACAAGTTATCTTGTTTCTTCAGACTCTTTCTAGTCAAACAGAGAGGATGGGACTCAACTCTTTTGTATTGTTTCACAAACTTTCATTATTTACATTAGGTTAAAGGCTGACTACATTAAAAGCTGTAGAAAACTTCATAGTGAATTGGACTGAGGTATTTATATCTCTTTTTAGTCTTTTCTGTCAGTTTTGTAGGCATTCACTGCACATACTCCTACACAGAAGTACTGAGCTTGCTCTTTGAGCCCCAGTGAATACTGAAAACCAAGACCTCACGTAGTGAGGTGATCAAGGAAATGTCTCTGTAAGGGTCCTTATCATACTGCTTTGTTGATCTCCTTTTCCTCTAAAATGCATCTCGCTGAATAACAAGAACAAAAAAATGTGAAGCATTTCAGCACTTAGCAAAAATAATTTTATGCTTTTTAATCAGTTCATGCATTCCTTGGGAATAAAACCATGTTGTTAGCTCTATACTATAATAAACATAAAATATAAATTTTAAGGATAAACATGCATTTATTATGTTAATCAAACATATTCAAAATAATGGAATTTACCAGCAACAAATTTGCAAACAAATATAGGCTACACTCTCACCATTGTAAGTGAAGCGCTTATATCAAATTAAAAAATTCACATGCATATTGATTTTTGTCGATATTTTTACACAGAAACAATTACACCGTCGGAATCTGGGGTTTATATAACTGCAATTAAAGAAAAGGTCTCACACATTTACACAGGAATGTACCTGACATTTACTGGGTTAGTTTAAAAAACCGCTGGCGTGTCCGGAAATGCAGTAATTTCATTCACAAGCTCGCATGGGACGGACTGAGAGAGCGCGGAGATGAACGTTTCTACCAATGCTC